CCTCTACTTCTTTTGTATGTTTGTCACTCTCTTGTAACCCGCTATTTCCGGGGTGCCTTGATAGTCGAAGCAGACTTTGTGCTGTTGAAGCTAGAGAGGTGAGCAGAGTAAACCTGATTCCACTGAAGGACTTCTCTGTTGACATCCACCCTTTGGCGCTCATCTGACCTTATGCAGTTGCGAACGCCTTAAAACCTTACTAAAACTTTTTTTAAAAAAGATGCATCATTTCAAATCTTGATTCTTTCCCCAAAACTTTGATGGGCAATACACGTCTGTTGCTAGAAACCGATCTTTCTCATATTAAACTAGCTGGGTACACGTTCGATGAACGGACTCACAAAAGTCGATCGTCAACTCATTGTGGAACCAGTGCGCACAGCTTGTGAACAGAAGCCTCACTTGTTTACAATGGCGTCTTAGAAGACGGACTTTCCCAAGATTAGATCTAAAAGAAACTAATGAAAAACTGAAAAGTAAACTACAGTGACTTCAGACTCCTCAATAAAACTGTGCACCTTTAAATGATTCTAAACTACCGTTAATTTGTTCAAATTCGAAAGTTTAGTGGTTCGGAATTTATAGGCCACCAAAGTGACCGACTTTCAGAAATATAATATATATAGATTTGTTTATTTCCTGCGGAAGAGCAATTTTTATTTCAAGGAAAACGAAAAATGTCTTGAACACTGCATTGGAATGACGAACGGGAAAATCGTAAACGGCCGATGGTGTTTTCTACTTTTTTTTTTTTTAGGCGGATGAAAGCATTCACTGAATTGATACTGATAGAGGCTTAGCTTGGTCTTTGAACTACCTTCAGTTAATTTTTTTACGGTTCTACGTTCCGTACTAATTTTTCAGCTATAGAACAAACCATCCACATGTACGCAACTATTTATCATTATAGATAATAAAAAAAGTACTAACAGATTCCCAAACTGAACGTCCCGTGTCAGAGCAGGGAATAGGTCAATGACTTATAAGAATTTACACAAAAACAATTTTCCCTATTTATGTACGTACATATGTAAACACTGCGACTGTGAATGTGAATGTAAATACCCTGACAGTATTTGTCGTCACACTCTCTCTCTTTCACTTTCTCTCTCTCTCCCCTCTTTCCCTCTCTCTTTCTCCCCTCTTTCTCTCTCTCTCTCTGTCTCTGTCTCTGTCTCTCTCTCACTCTCTCTCTCCTCTCT